TTTTGCGGCGGCCTGAAACACCCCAAACCCTAAACCCTCAAGCCCTAAACCCTAAACCCCTCAAGCCCTAAACCCTAAACCCCCAAGCCCTACACCCTAAACTCTCAAGCCCAAGCCTGGGGCGAGCCCTGGCTCCATAAGGGGTCGAGCTCCATCCAGACCTCTAGGCTCCAACAAGGGGTTTTCGGGGTTTAGGGTTTAGGGTTTAGGGTTTAGGGTTTAGGGTTTAGGGTTTAGGGTTTAGGGTCGGCAAAATATTCCTAAACATGATCCTCTTAAACCCAAATAGAGAAGGTAAAGAATCTCCCACGGGCCTGGCTAGTTTCTTGTGGCTTCTTGTTTCTTTGAGCTTTTTGCTTGGGTTTTGGGGTTGGGGGTTAGTTAGGTTCAAAGGTTTAGGTTCTTGTTTAGGGTTTAGGGCTTAGGGTTTAGGGCTGAGGGTTTAAGGCCAAAATGTTTAGGGTTTAGGGTTCAGGGTTTAGGATTTAGGGCAGAACGATCGGGCGTGAGTGATGCCATGAGACTCCCATTCAGGGTTTGGGATGTTGGGCCGGGGGGGGGGGGGGGGGGGGGGCACTGAGGAAACTAGGGGGATGCCCGCCACTAGTGCGAAAAACTTGAAAAACCAACAACAGCACCTGCTCCACCCTGCAAGCCTGAACCCTAAACCCTGAACCCTAAACCCTTCAAACCTCCGAACAAAACGCCCCAAACCCTGGCGGAGGTTGTCAGGAATCTCTGCCTCTCCTGCCAGGGCACTTGGTCATCCAACTCCTCCTGTTGGCGGACCCAAAAACACTCCAAATGGTAAAGCTGGCGGAGGCCCAACAGCCTGGAACCCTGAACCCGAAACCCCCTAAGCCTTAACCCTGAATCTCCAAACGCCCGAAATCCCTGAACTCCCAGAGTCCCCACACCTGTTGGCCCCTTTTTTGCATTACTTTTCTCCGCTAAACAGCTGAACCTGTGATTCCTGGAGAGTTGGTGGTTCAGTGTTAGAGTTTGGGGTTTAGGGGGATTTAGGGTTTAGGGATTGTTTGGCCACTTGTTCAGTGTTTGGGTGATGAGCTCTGGGCTGGGGTGGTTGAGGACTTGGAGCGCGCACACACACACACACACAACCCCCTAAACACCAACACCTCAAACCCCAAACCCCCATGAAACCTAAACACCCCTAGAATGCCCCCATGTTTCCTCCCCAAACCCTAAACCCCTTTTGCCACTGGGCTTGAGGGCCTAACCCCCCAAACCCTAAACCCGAAACCCCAAACCCTAGACCCCAAACCCTAAACCCTAAACCCTAAACCCCAAACCCTAAACCCGAAACCCTAAACCCCAAACCCGAAACCCTACACTCCAGAGAGGCTCCGTCTTCCCCGTCAGCCGCAGCAGGAGCCCTGGCTCCACGCGCAGACGGCGGACCGCTTTAGCCCCCGGCGTTGGAGCGATGAAGAGCCTCTTTAGGGTTTAGAAAGGTTCAGAGTTTAGGGTTTAGGGTTTAGGGTTTAGGGTTTAGGGTTTAGGGTTTAGGGTTTAGGGTTTAGGGTTTAGGGTTTGGGGATTGCTGTTTCCAGTTTGGGGTTTTGGGTTTAGGGGTTCGGGTTTCTGCTGCAGGGTTTAGGTTTCCCAAATCTTTGCCAGGCTAGCCATGAAGTTTCTGTTTCAAGCACAACCTGTGTCGTCGCCTAGAATGCGCACAAGTGGCCTGCGCATGGAGAATATCTTGCCATGGGACACAGGAGACATCATGGCGCAGCCCCACCCATGCCGCATACATTACTGGCTGAATATTCCGGGGGGCATCGTGTGTAGAGTGTGTCCCCAGTGTTTTTGGAGCCGTAGGAGTGGGAAGTGGGCTGACTATTGCATTGACTATTGCCAGCACATCCCCGCAGAGTCAAGAAAAGCGAAAGGGGAGGAGGCATGTGGTGCTGCTGCTGCCGACAAGCGGTTACTTTTGCCACACGAGTATTGGGAATGGTGGCATGACAAGAGCGCTCAACGTGACTGTCTGAGTCCAGCTGGGCGGCCAGTGCAGATTGCAAACGCCTCCGCCAGGAAGTGACAAGCACTGATGTTGGTCTGACTCAACTGTGTGAAAATTAGAACAGAAGACCTGCTCACACCCGAACTTGTTTGGAAAACCCTGTGCTCCGATCCCACTTCGGGAATGCAACCGCAAAAGCACTTTTCAGCCCGGGTTTAGACCCAATCCGTGCTGCAGTTGATTAGCCAAGCTTGCGGCAATTGCCGGTAAGGGATCTGAGCCAGTTCAAAGCCCCAACCGCAACCCAAGTCTTCCCGCAGCAGCATACATGTAAGAGTAAGGCTAGCACGCTCGCCTTCCGAGACGTCACCATGTCTCACCAGGACGAATTCCCCTTTCCATGCTATGGCGGCTGTTAAATTAAACCCAGTTTCACTTACGTAAAGCCCGAGAAGCTCCTTCACAACAGCAGATTGTCCGAAGGGGTGTGGTATTCTTTGAGCTCAGGACCCCTTCGTGTGCGTATCGGGGTTTCCGAAAGTGTGTGGTGCCTAATTCGGGGTCCTTATTTCAAGGGATCCTGACTATTTGAGGGTCTATATTAGGGGTCCCTTGTTGTCGTAAACTCTCTTAGACCTTTAACAAAAAATCCCGAAGCCCTCACCTCGGTCCCCAGCCTGCGTATGGCCACATGCCCTTCCGGTGGATTCCCTCATCTCGGGCGGTAAAGAAACCCAGCACGAACTGCGCCAGCTTCCCCTGATCCGAGGACTCAGGAATTCAGGGCCTGAAGCTTACAGGGTATAGAGTTTAGAGCTTAGGGTTTCGTGTTTGGGGTTGTAGGCTTGCAGGCTTAAGCTTTAGGGGTTACGTTTCGTGCCTTTAGGGTTCAGGGAAACGTTGTGGTCACAACAAACCCAAATACTTTTTTGAACACATGCACAAACCAATGAATCCCTAAACCCAAAAGCCTAAACCCAACCTTGATCCACCACCCCTAAACCCTAAACCCTAAACCCTAAACCCTAAACCCTAAACCCTAAACCCTAAACCCTAAACCCTAAACCCTAAACCCTAAACCCTAAACCCTAAACCCGAAACCCTAACCCTAAACCCTAAACCCTAAATCCACGCCTCGGGCTCGGGGTTCCCGGAAGGCCGGGAAGCTTGCGAAGGCTCGTCCGTGTCCGAGAGCCTCGGGCTGAGTATCTACTGGTTTAGGGTTTAGGGTTTAGGATTTAGGGTTTAGGGTTTAGGGTTTAGGGTTTCGGGTTTCGGGTTTAGGGAACCCCAAAAGAACAAAAAATAAGAATCCCTATATTAACCTGAATGAGGAAGAATGGTTTCATTTTTCCTGGTTTCTGAAGCAATTCGTAGGTATGAGGGGATCTTTGTTGCCACCTGCCCGCCTGACCTCTCGGACATACTGCAGGGCACTTGCTGGTTTAGGGTTTAGGGTTTAGGGTTTAGGGTTTAGGGTTTAGGGTTTAGGGTTTAGGGTTTAGGGTTTAGGGTTTAGGGTTTAGGGTTTGGGGTTCAGTATCCAGGGTTTAGGGCTGACGGCTTTCGGGTCTGGGAGTTTTGGGGGGTTCTGGGTCTAGGCGACCGACACCTTTCCGTGCTCCGGGAGTTCATTCGAAGAGATGCCTGGGGCAAGCCCCTGCTTCTTCTGCCGAGCCAGCTGCAAGGCATCCAGCTCCACCAAGCGGCACAACTTGACAATTGCGAAGAAGCCCATTTGTGAGCTGCCAAGGATTTTTTTCATCAACGTGTCTCATCGGTTTTTTGGCATACTGGGCTCCGGACGGTCTGGCCAACTCTTGGCAGTGAGACTCAAGATGTCACAACTCTGTCATCCTTGTCGACTTGCTATCCGCGAGGCTCCCAAACCCGAAATCCCGAACACAGATCCTGGACCCTGCATCCCGGAATCAGACCCAGCGAAAACGAGAGGCACAAAATGCGCAAATGCTTGAGGTCTGGCAAGTCGAGGCTATGGATTGGGCTGGGGAGATTCTTCGCTTGGGATGTTGGCTTCTGGCAGTGTGATCGAGGGTTTTCAAAGGCTTTTCGGGCCTTTAGGTGCTTGCAAGTTGTTCAAAACCCTCCGGTTGCCTGCATGCTGTCCGGGTGGCAGGAGCTTTGCCAGGGCGTCGTACTCGGCATCGGCGAGATTTTCGCTACTTGCCTGGCCAAGTTTTGCGCACGTTCTCACTGACAAGTTGGCGTAGGAGTTTGTTTTCTTATAAGGTTTGTTGGAGGAGTTTACGATTGAGGGTTTTCTGGCTTTAGGCCCTGGGGCAAAGGTTAGGGCCGGTTGAGAAACCCATCCAAGGCTCTAACACGGCGCCGGCAACTTGATCGTTGGCTTCAATCTGAACCGGATGAACCGGCTATTTCCCAGCATCTACGTCAGAAGAAGCCCGGCCAGTGCAAGTATCGAAAAGCTTGTTAGGAGTTGTTTCTGGCGTAGGGCTCAGGCTCCGCCTACAAGGTCCAGCATTTTCGAGCTTTGCGCACTGAAGCTGGTCCACTGGGGCGGAAGCATGCACGCGCAAATGCGACTTCCAAATTCAAGGCCTACACCAGTTTCAAGCGATTGCTTCGATGTCTTCAAACCATGGCAATGGGACATATGACCCCAATCTAGTCCCTACCAAACTCCCTGCAGACCCCGGAGCTTAACACACGACATTCCTCCAACCCTAACCCTAAATCCTAAACCCTAAACCCTGAACCCTAAACCCTAAACCCGAAGGCCCGAGCTTCCCCAGCCTGCCGCACGCGGCGCAGAAATTGCATCAGAGGCGCAGGACAGTACCTGCTGGCATCACTCTCTTGGTTCCGCTCCAGACACGTCTCACCAGTGATCTTTGCGAGCAATCCTAACCATAGTCGGGGCCTGGTAGAAAGGGAGTGGGTATGTTGGGTAGGTGTATCGCATCACTCTTATACTATGGGGAGGCATCGGCTCCTGCAGCCCTGCCAAGCCCTGCTTTTGGCGAGCACCGCGTCAGCTGATCTGTCCTCGAACAGCGTGAAACTTCTGCAAGAACTCCGTGCCAATATCTGATACGAGGATGCCCTCGAAAAAACCAATGGTCTCATTTGAAAGCTCGAAGACGTGTGCTGGAACCATCACTTGGTGCGACACGTGACGCTGATACTCCTTGAAACACCAGACTCTTCGGTGATCCAGCGTTATCAGCTGGCGCCGAAGCTGCAGCAGCCGCACGACCGGCAACTCATCAACCTTCGTCCTCCCTTGCACGAGCTCTTGAACGAGGTCAGTCATCGATCTGCCATCTCCAAAAATTTTGCGCGGATGAATTCTCCGCTGGCAAAAACATATATCTTCCACAGCGACCTCTTGGCAGCCCAGATCTCGAATGGCGTGAACACCTTCTTCAGCTTTGACCCCAGTTACTGCAGACTGCGCGTTCGCGATGGCAGCGCAAAAGCTGTCGATCATCGCCGCGGAATCGGATGAAGTACTCGCCTCGAAACCACAGAACGTCAAGCTCACCAGCTCGGGCATGTCTGCACAGTCGGACAACAAGGGGCTTTCCGAACGGCGCGGGCTGCGTGATCTCTCCTCAGATGTCGCGCAAGGAGCCTCAGATGTTGCGCAAGGAGTCTTGATGCTTTGACCACACTCCTCACAAAACTTTGCCTGGAGTCTGTTCGCGTGCCCACACTCGCAGAGCACTTGGCTTGGCTCTGCAGTCTCCACACCATTCGCGGGCAGAGCATCCTCATCATCTGAAACAACGACAGTTCCAGTCAACCGTCTGACCGGGATCCGTCTGACCGGGACCCGTCTGACCGGGACCCGTCTGACCTTGGGATACGGTGTGCCAGAAGCCTTTGCGGCAACTCGACGTGCCTGCTGCGCACCATCTGACGATCCCCTCACGGCGCCTATTCCCTTTGTCTCAGCCACTGCTGGAGGCCCCGTCGAAGAGGAAGATGGCATGTAGGGGAAGGCATCCAGCCGCGAAAGGCCCGGCGGTTCATAAAAGCCATGCCGTGTCAGGAATTTGTCCAGCTCCCCATGACCGAAGCTCTCAAACGGTCTAGGCTTTATGCCCGCCACTGCACAGCATCTGGGGAACAACCTGTGCGCATTCTGCAAGACAAGCAACGGCGGCTCTCCTTCCAAGGCAAGTTTCCTCAGGCCGGCCCCCACAAAGAACGAAAGGATCTTGCCTTCCGTCAGCTGCACGTTTTCTTCTGGCCATGTGCTAGAGTTGCCTCGCTTTCTTGCTGTTCTACCCATGGGTGCAGTGGACACTTAGTAGGAGATGTGGAATTCTGATATGAAGAGGCGTATGCAGCTGGGCGAGTGCAAGTAGTGAACGACAATAGTAGAAAACGCATCCGGAATGAAGTGGCCTGTCCTAGGGCGTTGTAGACCTCAGCTCCCATCCCGAAAGCACGGAGTCTCCAACCCTACAGTCTAAGAAATGTTCAACATACCTCTTGGGCACACCCCTTAAACGAAATTGAGGGGTATGGTAAATTCCTTCCTTATATTCTCTTTTTCGAGGTTAAGGGGTATGGGCTTGGGGTCTGTTGAATTTTTCTTAGATGCAGACCTTGAGCCATCAGTGTACATACACCGTCGAGCGTAACCTTGCTCTGATTGCTCTCGGTCTGAGGAAAACTGTCTTGGACCCTATATGCGATAGAGATGAAAACCTGAACCTTACAACCCTATACATTACAAAGATTCAACATGGCCTAGGACGGCCCTCGAAACCCTCTGAAAAGTATTCCTGACTATGGTCCTCAATCAAAGAAAATACGAAATATCCTAAGGGCTTACCTGACTCTTCGCCCCTCATAGTCACATCCTTCACACCCGAGTCCCACCTTCTAAAAAAAAAAATGTACACGCGGCCTGTACTCGGGGGGCAACTTGCGAAAGCCCTCCTTTCAAAGGCGCTGCAAGGCAGGTGGCCCGGCTCTGCAACTTTGGGCTTCACTGGGTTTTGGAGCTTCTAGGCGTTCGATGAAGCAGGGCTTCTGTTACTGCTATTGCTGCTATTGGGTGAGGGTATGTAGGGTCCCATACAGAGCCTATTTCGCTTCTGAATCGCAAAGAATTCGGTTGGAATGAGATTCGATCTTTAACAGCCGAAGCTGCAGCCCTCAATGACTAGCTGCACCCTGCACTCGAACTTGAAGCCCTTTGTTCACGGGGCTCTGGCATCTGCCTGGGCTTGAAACCCTACAAACCCTACAAGCCCTAAACCCTAATCCCTATAAACCCTAAAATCCCTAAACCCTAAACCCTGAACCTTCAAAACCCCAAAACAGCAAACAGGCGCCGCTCGAAGTCCTCATCGAGGAAGCGCAGCTTCTCGCGAGCCACACGGCGGCCACCCTCCTCCCAGCTCTCGCCCGGGTGTGGCTTGATCCTGGGGGTGGGGGTGGGGGTTAGGGTTTAGGGTTTAGGGTCTAGAGGGTCACTGTTCTAGCATTCATGGTCATTAGGAGGTTCCAGGCTCAGAAATAAAACCCACCCGCCCAAAGAATCCCATAACATTAAGGAAATAAAGGTTTCCATCCTACTGGGAATCGCCCGAACATCGCCCGAACATTGGGGGCCCCAATGTTCGTGGCTTTTCGACCTGGCCGAAATCGCCCGAACATTGGGGGCCCCAATGTTCGTGGCTTTTCGACCTGGTCGGAATCGCCCGAACATTGGGGTCAGATTGGTCGGAATCGCCCGAACATTGGGGTCAGATTGCTCGAAATCGCCCGAACATTGGGGGTCCCAATGTTCGTGGCTTTTCGACCTGATCAAATTGGCCGAACATTGGGCTCAGATTGGTCGGAATCGCCCGAACATTGGGGTCAGATTGGTCGAAATCGCCCGAAGATTGGGGTCAGATTGCTCGAAATCGCCCGAACATTGGGGGCCCCAATGTTCGTGGCTTTTCGACCTGGTCGAAATCGCCCGAACATTGGGGTCAGATTGGTCGGAATCGCCCGAACATTGGGGTCAGATTGGGCGAAATCGCCCGAACATTGGGGGGCAGATGGGTCGAAAAGTCCCGAAGGTTTAAATAAATAAATATATATATATACATATATATATTTATTTATTTATATTTATTTATTTATATTTATTTTTATTTTATGTGTGTATATATATATATACGATAGAGAGGGTTCAGGGTTTGGGGTTCAGGGTTCAGGGTTCAGGATCCTTGGGGCGGGCTTCAGGGCTTGCCCGGAGGTTCTTGGATACTTGTACGCAGGGTAGGTCTGGCCATAAACCTTCCTTAGGGCCTTAGGGACCCGCCAAGCAGACTAGCCGCGCTCAGGGTTTATCTTGGGTTCGGGGTTTACTCTGGGTTGTCTCTTGGGATATTCTCGCTCCCGCATAGCAAGAGCAGAGTTTCAATTAGAATGCCCAGCGAAAAATGACACAGGTCAGTCTCCTTTCCGAACCCCGATCCTGAACACAAGGCAGAACTCTTCTTGGGTTTGGGGTTTGGGGTTTGGGGTTTGGGGTTTGGGGTTTGGGGTTTGGGGTTTGGGGTTTGGAGTTTATGGCTCAAGGCGTTCTTTCCCACTTGCTTTCACGCCTTCATCCTTGGGCTTCTGGGGTTGAGAGGGGCTTCGGTGCTTACACGAGATGCGGGGAAATGGAATCTCCGGCTTTTCTGACGCTCGCTCAGGAAGGTGAATGCCCACAACCTTCCCGCAACCGCTCTGCGAAACGACCAACGACGTCATCTGCTGTCACCCCTCATCTCCCAACCCTGCTTGCACTCCAGCAAGTTGCATGGCCTCAAAGCATAGTACTCCTAACCCTTTGCCCAGCTGGGCTGGGAGCGGATGCCAGAAAAGCAGCATGCACGACCTTACTCCTAACCCTACCCCCCAAAACCCCCAAACCCGGTTCCAATCCGGGCTCTTTGCGCTCCAGGGGAAGCCGCCGTGCAAGCAGCGGAACAGCAGCCAGCCGAGCGACTCCACGTCATCCGCCGTGGTGCGCTGCCCACCATGCATTCCGGACTTGACCTCGGTCCAGGCCCCGGGTTCTTGGTAGGGAATGGGGGAAGTAGGTAGGTACAATGTAGGGGAGGTATAGGGTATCTGATTTCCTCGTTCCCGAATTGCTCAGAACTAGTAGGCAACTAGCAGGCCTAAGATGAGTAATCACCCTCCAGCAAGGAGCCCGTTCCTAGGAAAATGAACTTTTAATGACTGCTGAATAGGTGCAATACAAACTGCCCCACATACAAAAACAGTGGCATTACCATTATTCGGATTCTGAATTATCAGTGATGAGATTTTGAGACACAGGGGCCGACATGTAGTCGCGCATTCCACCATGGCCGGCATCGAAACCTAAGTCTGATTCGAAATGGGAGCAAGAATCTAGAACTCGGAATTCTGAGACCCCACCCTAGTAGTTCGAATATGAAGTGGTATGTGCTCGCAAGTTCCATGGGCCCGAGCTTCTTCGCGTCCCGAGCCAGACCCGTTCAATGCAGTGGCATCAAGAAGCCTTCCCCAGAAACGTCTCGCTGGCAGCTTAGCAAGGGGGTGCGACGCGCAGGGACTTGCAGTCATATCCAGGTTTTCGAGGAGAAGTTGAACCACAAAAAGGGCTTAGGAGCCTTAATCTCCCCGATTGAGCTGTAGGAGCACGAAGGGAAGTACCGAGAGCAAATGGCCCCTGTGAGTGTAAGGCAAGAAGCGGGTTTGGCCCACATTCCCAGCCCGGCCAAAGTCGATGAGCTGAACCCAGGGCTCGCCACGCCGCAATCTCGGCCGGCTCAGGGTTTAGGGTTCGGGCTTTGGGGTTTCATTAGGGTTTAAGGTTTTGGGTTTAGGGTTTAGGGTTTAGGGTTTAGGGTTAGGGTTCAGGGTTGAGGGTGGAGGGTTGAGGGGTCTAGGGTTCAACGGAATAAAAGGCCTGAGGTTGGATGGTTACAGAATAGAACCCCGAAAGCAAAGAAGGAAGAAGCGGCTGTTGCGAGGTGGCCTAGGACAACACGCCACTCCTTGAGCGATGCTCTAACCACTCAGAACTCCTCTGAACCTTCCCTCACCCCCACCAACAAGATAAAAAACACCAACACACCCCCACACACACAAAAAATAAAAACTCAACAAGAGAACCCCCTATTTAAAAAAGCCAAGCCGCAGGATGTTCCCCGGCTTCATGTCGCAGTGGAGGATGCCTTTGCGGTGGATGGCCTGCTCTGACATGCCGTGAGGAGTTCGGGCTTCTGGGGAGGGTTTTCGGCAGGTTAAACCCTAAACCCTAAACCCTGCGGACTGTACGTATCTGGTACGCCTCTACTCTGTGAGCCCGGAAATGCCCGAAAACAACAGAGACCCTATAAACCCGACGGGCCCTGAGCCCTGAGAAACCCCACAAGCCTAAACGCCGTGTTTAAGCCCCCCTCTTGTGGCATCCAGGCCCTTGAGCCCTAAACGCCACTCAAGCCCTGTATTAAGACCCCCCCCCCCCCCCAAAACCCGAAAGCCTGTCAACCCTAAACCCTAAACAACCCGCTAAACCCCAAACCGAACCCCTACCTGCAGCGTCCGGAGCAGGCGCGCGCCCAAGTCAGCAGCAACCGGCCAGGAGAGCCGGCCCAGGATCTTGGGGCTGGGATCCTGGGGCACTTGAGCGCTGGTTCTTTGAAGGGCGCCCTGGAAAAATGTCAGGGTTTAGGGCTCTTAGGGTTCAGGGTTCAGGGCTTAGGTTTTGGGGTGTTGGGGGTTTGGGGTTTAGGGTTTAGGGAACCTCAGTGCAAAGAGCCGGCTCCAAAATCGAAATGGGTTGAGGCCTCAGGGCAGAGGAGGGATCCTGCTGCTTGGCTTCTTGTGCAGCGCATGGGTACTGGTAGTTCTCTGAACCAGGGTCCCTTTTGGGGATCCTTTCTTTACAGGGCGCCGCCTTCAAATGGGTACCCAAAAAAAGGGACACAACTTAGGAAACGACCCAAATCGTTGCTTCCGGATGCTGTAAACGGTTCCCTGGAAGCTCCTTTTGAACCCTAAACCAACCCGTAAGCTCTAAGCCCTAAGCCCTAAACCAACAAAAAGGTCATTTCTAAGAGGATCCAAGGCTCATGAATGTGCAGGTGGCCTGATATGGGCTTTCGGGCTCAAGGGCTGAGGGTTAGCGTGCACAAGGGGCCATGGGATGCGATGCAAGGGCAGTGCTTCTGGCGTCTTTGGCTTGACAAGTTGGAACAGGCTTCGTGTTGAGACCTCAAAGACTTGGGCATTTCCCGAAAATAGGGGCACCCCTTGTATACCCCAAATTGAATCGAATCCCCTCAACAGGGGACCCGGCAAAAAGAGTACCCCTATGTTCGGAAACCCCCCATGTTGTTCGCTCCTGCACAGTTGCACAGACCCGAGCTTCACAGGGACACGCCACGCCTCGGAGGAGGGTGTCCAGGCACGGCTCCGTGCGAGACATGGCCATGTAGAAGCCCTTGTTGGAGAGACGGCCGCCCGCGTAGCTTTGGGCGATGCCGAAGTCCAGCAAGTCAGGCAAGCCAGGAATGTCCTGAACCCAGGTGCAACTTCACTTCTGTGGCGCACGAACCCTAAACCCTAAACCCGAATTAAACCGCTGAAGGGTTCTTGGGGCCCTGTTTCCTTGCCTTGAACCCTTTTCGAAGGAGGGCCTCGAAATCTCGCGTAACAAAAACTCGCCATCAGGGTTTAGGGTTAGGGTTCGCACCCTCCCATGGGCCCCCTGTCCCGCCCCCCCCCCCCCCCCCAAAAAAAGCAAAATCTTGAACGCGGGTGTGCCCTCATAACCCCAGAAGCCCTGAACCAGAACCCCTTTACTTACCTCCCCACCCCCCTTCAAAAAAATCAATATGCAGATGGCCTTCCTCCCTTCCTTGATCCCCAGCCTTCTGGATCACGGCAACCCCGATTCCCTGGCGCTGCCTCTACACTCAAACCCTCAACTCTGAGAAAACTGCCGGCTTAGGCCTTTGCAACAAGGCAGGCTTCTTGGGCTCTCGCCTGTGGATGGGCCCCCGGAGCTGAGCCTTGCGGGCCTGAGGAGGTCTAACTAGAGGCTTTGGGAAACCAGCGAAGCGTCGTGGACACGGGCGTAGTACTGAAGCTCCTCGGCCTCGACGGGGAACTTCACCTTGGGAACAAAAAAACCACGCAAGGCGCAGGGCTTTGGGACCCTGGGAGTTATTTGGGTTTGTATTTTAATGGGGAGGCGCGTGACACGTGTTGGGGTCGGGGTATGTTTCGCGGGTATGTTTCGGGGTATGTTTCGGGGTATGTTTCGGGGGTATGTTTCGGGTATGTTTCGCGGCATCAGGAGCTACTTTACCTGCAATTTCGGGGGTATGTTACGGGGTATGTTTCGGGGGTATGTTTCGGGGTATGTTATGGGGTATGTTTCGCGCGTGTGCAACCCGTGTGCCATTCTTAAACCTGAGCTCCCCAAAAAAACACAAACCCATTTAGGACGACCCCAAGATCCCTGAGTAGATGTTTTCTGGGTTTACGCCCTAAACAAGCCCTCCGAAAATCCGCCCCCGAGCCGCCGCAGCAATGCCCCCGCTACCAGCGGCCGGCCAACGGCCCGTGTACACGACGGCGCCTTGCTTCCCTTGCCCGATGCGCCCAGAGATCCTCGGTCAATGCAAGCTACTCCGCTCGTGAGTTCATTCATGTATCACTGACTGGGCATGCATGTTTGTTGAGAAATGTTGATGAATAATATTGCATAATCAAGGTGTCAGGGTTTCAGGGTTTCAGGGCTTTGCCTTTTGACGCCGGCGCTGGCACAAGGCAGGCAAGGCAAGTGTCCGAAGGATGCGCCTACCAGGGCCCATGGAAGCACCCCAAAAAAAAAGCGCAACAAACCCTGAACAGAGCATGGCCTAGTGGCCTAGTCACTATAGTCCCAAAAAAATTGAAGAAGGGGATTCCAGCTTCATCGTCTCCATACTCCGTGGCCTCACGAGACACACGCTCGCGTCACACGCTCGCGTGTGCGAATGAGCACGACAAGAGTTCGAAGGTTCCTGTCACCCTCGGGCAGAAGCCCACCCTGCAACACCTCAATGCTATTCAATGATGTGGTTGCTCCGCCAACGAGGCAGGGTTTGTTGTAAACTTGTCTTCAAGGTGAGCCATGATTCAGACTGTACGGCGGGTGAAGCCCTTTATCAGGAAGAGCCTCGCGTCATCCCTGACCTGCATCATCGTTTCCGAGCCCGTCTCCAGACATGACTTCAGTTTGCTTTCAGCGGAGGCCAGGTCAATCTGATTTTGCTTGCAGCTTTTTTGCACACAGGCTTGAGCCACAAACCCTAAACCCTAAACCCTAAACCCTAAACCCTAAACCCTAAACCCTGAACCCTGAACCCTAAACCCTAAACCCTAAACCCTAAACCCTAAACCCTAAACCCAAACCCTTCCGACTCCCGACAAGGACATCCCATCATTAAGAAAGCTGACCCTGCGACCCGTGCTCGAAATGCATCGGGGGCTCTGCCAGGGGCCCATGTCGTCCCACTCCTCTGATTCCTGCGTTTTTGAAGATAAGCGGGGTTTAGGGTTTAGGGTTTAGGGTTTAGGGTTTAGGTTGAGGCTTTTGTTCAGGGTTGTTCGGTACACTTCTCGATTTGTGGTGTAGGGTTTAGTGCGCCCTTGTCAGAAAAGACTCACCCCCCCCCCCCCCCCCCACACAACAAAGGATAACCCAAACCTCCATGGTTCTTCGCTTTCTTCGAACAGCATCTCGAGCTGGAGCTCTACTAGACAGCAGGGCCAAGAAGAGGTTCAAAAGTGTTCCAAAGAGTATCGCTTTTGAACATAATGGCCCTATAAACAGACTTGGTGGTTTTGCGTCTCACTGGGAGCCGCTGCCAATCAGCCAACTTCATCACCTAGCCCGAAACCCCGAAACCTGGCTCGAGCCCTGGCTCCTTGGGAATCTCCTCGCCCTCGATCTTCCAGCCCAGGGCGACCGCACAGTTGCGGGGGCAGGCCATGAAAACCTCGACTCGGCGCGAGGTGCGAACGCTGTCCAGGAACCAGGACCTGAGTTCGGCGCAGGGTTCGAAGGTGGGGTACGTTTTTGTGTGGCTTTTGGGGGGTGGGGAGGGGGAAGCGTTGATCTGGGGCCTGGGAGAAGGCTCGGAAGCAACTTTGGGGTCTTTGGGCTTGTGCCTGAGGGGGGGGAGGGGTATTCCTTGACTCTCACACAAACCTTTTCCTCCTCTTTTTTGAACCCAGCCTCGGACGAGCTAGCTGGGAGCAGCAACCCTCCATCCTTTTGCCCTAAACTCCTAAACCCTTCCCCTCGTGGGCAAGGCTGAGTGGCTGATCCTGATGCATGGCATGGGGGCCCAGAAGCTCATGGCGAATGGAGGGGTTGGCGCCCTCCACACTTGGGTAGATCCTGCCCAAGGGCGCGCTGACCTGGGACCCACCCCCCGCAAAGCAAGCAAGCAAAAAGGGGATAACCTGCGTTTATGTCTCAGGCGACCCTCCTCCGCGGAAAGAGAGGGGAGAAAGAAAACAGGGGGGTGCCTTTGGTGGAGTGCCCAGCTACTTGAAGCATGGCATCCTCGCCGGCAGGAATCTCCAGCATGCAGGAGTACTGCAGGCCATCCCAGCGCATCGGCTTGCGGAACTCCTCTCCGGACCTGCGCTGCTTTTCTCCCTTCGCACACAACCTGAGACCCGAGAACCGTTAAGTTATTTTTAAACTCTGACAAACCCCAAGACCCTCCAAAAATCCAAGACCCCTCCAAAAATGGAGGCAAAAAAGGCGGGGGGGGAGGAGATGCCAAGAGCCGAAGTCCCAGGCACAAGCCCCAGAAGCCGAGGAGATGGCAGTCACCCAGCGGGGCAGCACGTGGATCCTTCTGTGTTTCTGGGCCGTTCAGAGAGTTTAGGGACTTAGAAGGGAGTTAGGAGGGAGTTTAGGGAGGTTCGTAGGGAGGTTCGGGAGTTTTGGGAGTTTTGGGAGTTTTAGGAGTCCTTGGGTTTAGGGTTTCGGGTTTAGGGTTTAGGGTCTGGCTGGGAAAGGGGTTGAGGGGAATGGATGGGGCCGGCCTTCGAGGGTTTCTGTCTTCGACACCCCCTTCGCTGACCTTCCCCGGGATTTCAACTTGAAGAGCGGGACTCTCTATCCTTAGGGGCGGAATACTCTAGCCCAGAAAAGGTTAACTTTTATTTGTACTAGGATTTGTAAAAGCCAAGATGGTCGAAGGTCAACTACCCAGCCCCTAAGCATCTTAGACGCTCCGGGCTCTCTCGCTCCCACTCCCCCACTCTCTCAGAGCCCGAAAGTTCCTTGGGCAGCCAAACTCTCCAAACCTCTTTCCTTGGTGCGAGGCCTGCGGAGGGGTCCAAACCTCTCTGAAAGACATCTGTCAAACCACTTCACGCTCCTGGAAGCTCCCGACAACCTCTAAGACTCTTCTGGGGATAGGATTAGGGGGACCCTTGGGGATATAGACCCTCTGAATAAGGTCCCTGTTTGATGGTGCCAGAAGAGGGTTCAGAAGTCCTTTCAAGGGTACTCTCCTACCTATGATCTTCAAGACCTCTCGACAGCCCCACTTCAACCCCCCCCCCCCCTCTCACAGGCCCTCTCCCAAGCGCCTTTCTCTCCCTACCAGCAACCAGCCGCTGCACTGCCTCAGCGGCCTCCTCCGGGTGAGGCCAAACCTCACAAGGAGCAGGGCTCAAAAGAGCTTCTTTTGTGTAGCGTTTTTCCCCTCCTGCACAGCTGGGACGAATCCACATCGCAGGGGCGGATGCATGGGGTTTTGGGGCTTAGGGTGTACCGGGTTAGGGAGTTCGGGCTTCGGGCTTGAAGGGTTCGACTCTCGCTCTGCTCTTGTGCTTCTTTCACGTCCAGAATGCTAAGCGTCCAACAGTCTCTTCGTGGAGATTCTCTGAAGTCTCCAGGTGCCAGGCCATACTAAATACCGCGCCAGCCGCGCAAGGTTAGAGCGGCCTGTGTTTAAAAAAGAAAGGCGCAAAGTTCAACCACTTTGTTGCGCTGCGGCTGCAATGTCTATGGGCACCCACCCTCGAACTGGAGTATACAGTATACACCAAACTCTCGCACATTGCCGGTGCAGCACGTCTCAAACGGCGTCTCCAAAGACACCCGAGCTGCGTTGGTGAAGCTGCGCTGGAAAGGCGGGGCTTTCTCCCCCGAGATTTCAAGACCTCATTCGTTTGGTTCGTTCTCAAAGCCATGTGCGCCCCTCCACCCAACGGAGAGTCATCCTAAGGATGATCTTCACAGGCGAATCAAAGCAGCCGATTGTGAGAATAGTGAGCTGATCAGTTGCTAAGGGTGAGGGGGCGAGCTCAGCTGGGGAGTTCTTCAAAAATCTGCAAACTCGCCACTCCCCCACCCTGCAAGAGTGATCAGTGAAGGTCTTCTGGGCACTCCAAATGTCTGGGCTTCAGTTTAAAAAAAACGAAAGTTCAGTGGTTCGGATGCATCATGATGAATCATGCTTGGCTCCACATCGCTGCTGGAGCCCTCAAAAATGCCAAAGGAACCTTCGCAAACGCACAGCGTGCTTAGAGAAGCGCGGAGGAGAGGATCCTGGCAAACAAACCTCACAACTCACAACCCCTACCTGCCCTACATTGCCCGACCGCATCTTCACTCACCCTCACTCTCCCCTTAAGCACCACCGTGACAAGCGTGCGCTTCACACCCAAAGCGTGGTCGGCGGAGCCTTCAACTCAGCGGCTTTCTCGGTGTTCTCCGTTTTCTCCACGTTCTCCGCCTCCCCCTGTGCATCCTGAAGCTTCTCCTCCGTGCTCGCGCCCATCTTCGCCTTGAGCTCAGCATTCTCAGCCTGCAAGCGCCGGATGGTCTGACTCTCCGTGAGCTCGGATTCATACTCTTGGAGCTTTCCAACCAGCCAGCTTTGACTCCTTCTGGGCGCTGGCGCGTCGGGCCACCTCTTGCGGTGGTCTGCACCAATCTTGAGCATGTTTACGGTGAAGCCGCCCTTGGAGATCATGTTGAGGACGGCGAAGCCCACGGCGTTGCTCTTCGCGTCCCCTAGGAGGCCGAGGCCTTCTGCCGAGATCAGCCACCAGCATGGAAAGGCCGGCCACGTGAACCACACCGCGCACATCACGCGGAGGTAGTAGTAAGGGAGGTCACAGTGGGCACGGCACCCTCCTGCCCAGAAGTAGCACAAGGCGAGGAAGGGCATCTGCACAAGGCAGAGAAAGAGTAGGCAGAAGGTCGTGATTCCAATGGCAATGCCCTTGTTCGTGATCACCAAGATTGAGACGTCCCAGGACGATTTGAAGAGCTCCCATGAGGCATCCTCAAAGAGAAAGCCTTCGTGCAAGGAGCCGATCCAGCCACAGATGAGGAAGGCGTGGGTGAAGAGGACCACGAAGACAACGTTGAGCTTGTAGCACGGAACGTAGGGAGCAATGAGAACCACGAGCTCTGCCTGCATCAGGGAGCAGGTGAAGGCGTAGCCCAGGTACCGGAGACCATTGACATTCTCGATGTGCAGCCAGCGGAACACCGAGAAGAAGGCCGCGGCCGCCTGCGCAACGCACATGGCAATGTTGAGGTTCCGACAGTAGGTGATTCTGTCCGCACACTTCTTCCTGGGCATATCCGGCCAGGTCTTCATCAACGTCCACCACTCGTCAACAGCTGGAGAGATGTAGTCCCGAAACATGCGCCACGAAGCATTGATCGGCTTCTTGACATCGGTCCTCACCACGATGCGGAGGGCGAGGTAGGTGAAGAAGAAGCCCAGAATGATGCTTGTGAGGCTTTCGATCGCGAACGCCGGGTAGAGCGGACCGCAAGCACGGAAGAGCTGGAAGTCGTTGAGCTCTTCCAAGACCATATCGCTCGAGTGCAATCGGACTTAATTAGGAGCTGCTGGATGCAGGCTTATCAAGATCTTGAGCCAAGATGGGTTAGCCAGTTAGCGCTCAGGGCTTCAAATGTCAGAGTCTTGCACCCGGCCCTACGCAGTCCAACTTCGACCGCCCAAAACATCCACGGCTCTCAAAAACATTTCGCCCCCTGAACTCGCCACTTCTGCATTAACCACGAAGCCACTCCGGGCCTCTTGGGACTCATGGGCTGAGGCCACGACTTCTGACCCCCCCCCCCACCCCGCCCGCGAAGTCTACGTACTTCTCATGGGCAGCTCCTCCATGCCCTCAATTCTGTTTGAACAAATATGAAGAATGAAGAAATATGAAGAACAAACAGCCCCCCCCCCCCGCAAGGAAGCAGAGCCCCTGCAGGGCCTTCCCGGAGATCTCGGCCCGCTCCGGCGGCTTCTCCGGCTTCTCGGGCTTCTCGGGCTTCACCTTCGGGGGGGGCTCTTGTACTGGGGCCCTAAAAAAAGTTAGTGAAAGCTTTCCTTGGGTGTATCTCTGCATTGAGAGACGCCGCTACTCCGACGCTGAAAAAGCGCGGAAGCGTGTGTGGCTGCGCAACTTTTCGTATTGCCTTGTCCGACCCTCTCCGACCGTTTGACCGTCCGACCGTCTGGCCGTCTGTCTCTTGTACACATGAGAGGTATTAGCCGCGGCTGTGGGAACCCTTGCAGCCAGGGCTTAGCAAAAAAAAAGGGGGCCCTGAAAAATAATTACTATTATGCCATAGAGTCACCACAGCAGGGCCAAGACTGCTTCCAAAAGCAAACAAGAGAAAACCAAATTCTGGGCTGCGATTTGCGATTAATCTAGGGGCCTCAAAAATTAGGGGTCCATCAGGAAACACTATGGAAAAGCGGTTAGCAAATTACGACCCTATGCTATAAGCTCCAGTCGCGACCTCGCGAGCGCGGTCCTGGCACTCGGGCTGCGCCAGCGCGCAGTCCTCGGCCTCTTCCGCCTTGCCCGGGACGAGGTAGGGCCTCCGCAAAGATCTGCAAAAATCTGGGCAAAAGACTCTGTGCAAAACCCATTCTACGGGTTTGAGAGGCGTAGGGTTTTGGGGTTTCTGCTCGCTCTGCGACCGGGCTTCGCGGTGAGCAGAGATTTACAGGAGCGTCGGATGGGGTGGGAGGCGTAGTGACCTTCTAAGGGCCAGAGCCCGACCCTGGACCTTAAGTGCATGAAGCGTAAGATAGCGTAAGCCTGCATGATGATTCGGCTGGAGGGGTCCATCACTAAAGCTGGTTCAACCCGGCGCCCCGCCCAAATCCCGCCTGTCATGAGCAGGGTCGGCGTAGCCATTCTGGGGGCGGAAGGCGCCCTGGGCTGTGAGCTGGGCCACTCGCGGCATCACTCCAGACCATGGCCTTTCTTAGGCTTTCTAGGTGGGGCTTAGGGAATACAAGGGTTTGAGGGGCTTCTAAAGGGCTGAGGGCTGAGGGCTGTGAGCTCAGGGTTGTGCACTTTTTGCCGGGAGATCCCCACTCTAGGCGGCCTTGAGCTGCGACGGCGGTGCAGATTTCGGCCAAGGGTTCTTGTTTGCTTGCCGTGGGTTGTTGGGCATGAAGAGAATGGCAAGGGATGCTTTCATGGCGGCCTGGTTTGCTGCAAGTTCCACTCTTTGGGGCGTTGGTGATCAAAGATCGCCGACGGATCGCCCACAACTTCTTTTCCTTTCGGGAAGTCGGGAGCGAAAGGCCCCCGTAAGCCAAGCCACTGGTGTTGATGGCAAACTTCGCGTGGGAGGGCATATCCGGGGGTGATGCCCCCGAGGTTGGCCTCAAGTTCCAAAACCTGTGAGCCCTTGCAGCCCCTTCATGCCCGAAGCAGCCGAACTCGGAGCCCGGATCTTATCGGCTCACCGCGGCCCTCGTTTTCGGAGCTCGTGAATCGTGCGCAAGATGCTCGAAACATCTCGAAACGGTGCACTGCAGCGGCTGTACAAGGAGCGTGAAAGGGGGAGGAAGAGCTGTTCCAAATCAGGGTCCCCCCCCTTGCAGGGAGCCATTTGACCCTTGCAGGCGCTGACAGAGGGATATGCCCCCAAGAAGGGGACCCTGACTTTGAAACGTCTTGAAACCACCCTGGGAGTTGAAAACCCCAAAAAAACCTCACTGGCTTGTCACTGCTTTCGCTGAAGCCTCCATGAGCACATGTGTCACAACTCTTGCCGCAACGCATTTTTATGTTACAAAGACGTGCTGCCATCTTTGCATCATCGCCACACATGCCACACAGGCAGCTCTGGCACGGACTCTTCTCCACAATCATGGCTGGCCTCTCCAAGACTCTCCTCACGCGCGAGCGGTGGCTTTTGGCTGAACTGGCTAGGATCCTTGACCCGGCCCGCAGCACTCTAGACCACCAACACAAGGAGTCGGATCACAGGGCAGAGCTGGAACCCAAAAAGCCCCGAAACCTACAACCCCACAACCTGCCGGAAAGCCGGAAAGCCAAGGCTCCTGGCGGCATCCTGCTCCGCTGCTTTCTTGGTGGAGAAGAAGTCGCTTGTCGCGAGCTCGGGCGGGGTTGTCACCTGGCAGAAAGAGACCCCCTGGGAGGATCTAAGAACTAGAGCCCTCTCAGGGTTCCCCCAAGATGACCCACTAGTTACTATTTCGGTGCTTTTTTTGGGGGGGCTCTATTGAGAGCTGGCAGAAAAGAGCCTTTAGAGGGGGGGGGGGGGAAACCTGAAAGTTCTTGAGCTGTTCAACCCGAGGGTTGGCGCAAGCCCCTCCTCGAGCGTGACTCTCCAGCCGGAGTCCTCCATCACACCCTTGTAGGTCGCCAAGTCCTTTTCATCACTCGGGCGCTGACCTTCTGCTCCACTACCTCTCTAAACAACCCCAAAAAGAAACCTTTTTTGCAACCGAAAAACTCTGGAAGCCAAACCGCGAATCCCTGCAGGACGACCCCACCAGCTTGTGGCACCTCGGTCCCTTCTACACCACTTTGTGCGGAGTCCTGGGGCCGCGAATTCGGCGACAGCTGATGAAGAAACTCCTCTCAGGGACACCGAGACATCGCACCATCAGTTTTTTCAGCATGCCGAAGGACAAGAGGATGAAACAACCGAGCAAGAGGAATTTTGGAGTACAACTGCACGAGGGGCTCTGAGAAGATCCTTGAATGTGCAGAGCCCCTCCCCGCCTCCCCAGAAAGTCAAATGCTAGCGTGCGAAAAGGGGGCGGGGGGGTGTCCGGGATTTTTTGCTCGGGGCCAACTCGGCCGTGTCCTGCAAGGCGCCCTTGTAGTTTCCTGCTTTGGGCTCAACGCGCCGATCGAAAGATCCAGTGAAGCGAAGCTTCTTGGCAGGTGGCCCCTCGCAGCATTGCGCTCTGGCAAGCCTCGGCATGCCAGAGTGGCTATGAGTGGCTCTGCAAAATTCACGCCTGTGGGGGGGGGCGGCTCTGCCCCCACAAGCCTTGAAAATGGGCTGTCAGCTGCCATCACAGAAAGCCCTCAACTCTCCTCAAGCCTCCAAAATCCCCCCAAACACCAGATGCGCCTTGCATCTGCCAGGAAGCTCCAAGGCCTTGGTGTTGGCCATGTTCCGGTCATCCAGATACTGCTTCTCCCGCAGGAATCCTTGGCTTCTAGGGGCTTCAGGGTTGAAGGCATCTTCAAGGGGCTCTGGCCTGAGTTCGGAAATTTAATGAGTTTGGTCCCAGAATGAGCTGTTTCCCTAAACCCGAAACCCGAAACCCCGAACCCAGGCGCAATGACCCGTCGCCCCTGTGCACCGAAGGCGCGCGCCGCCACGAAGAGCGCCCGCCTCTTGGCCCGATCGGCCTTGGTCAAGGCCTCCAGCCGATCCTTTCCCAGCTCAACACCAGAGCCTCCATGTCCATAAGCCCTCAAACCCAAACCCTCTTTACGGCTAGGACTGCTGCACTGCCTGGGAACAACCATGCCATATCCCTAAACCCTATGCCCTAAAAACATCGACAAACCCATATAAGCTGCTACGCCGCATGGCACGAGGTGTTGCTGGGGCTGGGGGGGCTTCGACTCGCGCGCTCGCACACGAGGAGGCAAGGCTTCTGTCGGTCCACCCCATACTACTCCTAATCACTTTCGGCACCACGAAGCCAGAGTCACCCAACACCGGGCTGGGAGTTTAGGGGCCTAGGGAGGGCACGCCGAGCGGAAGCGAGCTTTGCGAGCGCTCACCAGTGCAAGGCTTCCCACTTGCAACACTCAGGGTTACAGGATTTTGCATTTTTGTTAGCTTTAAGTTTGGGCCTCAGCGGCGCACGCACACGGTCCATGGGCGCAAGGTCTTTTTCAAAAGGAGTTGCGAAGAACATGCATCGCAGCATGAACATTTGGAATGTCTGTGCTGGTAGAGTCAAAAGTGCCGAAGAGCTTGCATTCATGAGCCTATCACCCGGGTTGGCGGTGTTTTGCGAGTGAGTTTGAGGGAGCTTGCGGAGCGGTCAGGTGTTGCGGGCTGCGGAGGCATGCGATATTTCTCTGCACTGTGCTTCCCGAGATCGGCTTGCAGGACGTCCACTTGGGCTAGTCAAACCTGATGACTTGTTGTCGTCAAACTGGCCGGTGGCGGGGTTTTCAGGTGCAGGGCCTGGAGGGGCTTCGGGTTGAGCATCTTTTGAACCTCAAAGCTGACTTCATAGTCCGAAGCCCAAAGCCCTTCTTGCCTAAATACCCTAAGTCCGAAACCCTAAACCCGAAGTCCTCAACCCCAAATCCGAAGCTTACGGTTTGTGAAGGGCCCTGTCCTTGTCGATGACATCCTGGAGACTGACTCCTGAGCCCCTCCCCCTCTTGAGTAGAGCCCAAAGTAGACTAGGCTTGCCCAATTAAAATGTAGGACTAGGTAAGACCAAGGACAATGACAGGTCGAAACCGCGACCCGCATGGACAGAGCCAAGGACGTTCAGTGGGGGGGAGGGGCTCAGTGGAGTTTGTTGTTTTTGCACACTTGCGTAGCTGAATGCCACTGCAGTGAGACATCGAGGTATGATGCGATCAAATCGACAACTCCCCACTCCACGTCAAATCTGGACCCCCTCCTCTGAACCTTCTCTGAAGTTTCCGGAAATCCTAGACTCCGGAACTTCTCTGGACCCCCCCTTTGAAACCTTGTCGTGACCGTCCTTGCTCTCACCTAAATCAAGTCTTCAAGAACAATGATGAATAAATCAAAGGAAAAGAGGCGCCTTGCAAATTGGCGGCCCAGGCCAATCGTGAACCCTAAGCCTAAATCCTAAACCCCTGACCCCTCAGAAGGAACAGGAACAGTCTGTTAATGTGAGTTTCCTCGCTGTCCCCGTGAACAGTTCGGCACATGGAGAGAATTCTGTGGAAATAAGCCCAGGCACCATTCCAGTGAGTGTCGACAGCCTCTGGAGTGATCACCTGCAAAGAAACAGCCCCAAACCCCACCGCCGCTCCCACCCCCCCCCCAAAAAAAAAAACTCGCATAAAGAAAAGAACGACACCGGCCACTTTTACAGCCGCCCGAAAACCCTCCGAAGCAAACACCTTAAACTTGGGCTTTGGACTTCGACCCTCACACTGGTGCAAGGCACGCAAGGCCACGGAAGGACAGAGTAGGCGCACTTCCCAAGCACGCGTGTTCCAAATATCGCGCGCGCGCGCGCGCGCGAGCGCGCGCGCGCGCGCGCGCGTTCGGGAGCGGCCGAGGGCGGCGACACCAGCTTTGACAGGGCGAGCTCGCTATGACTGGATCAGCTTGGCATCCTTTGGCAGCATGGCAAGGCAAAAAAGGATTCTGCCTCGTGGCCAGCTCCGCGACCGCGGCTCCGGCACCTGCACCGCTGCCTTCGTGGGCACTGCTGGCACGCTCGACTTTCCTCCTGGCGTTGTGGCATCCGTGCTAAGCCGAGACATAGTGGGCCTTCTCGATGACGCAATTGAGCACCTCGCACAAAGTCCTTGAACATAGCCAGCTGCTCCATTGCCCGGCAAGAGCTGCTGTTGGCATCACGAGGCTGGTGATGCTCTGGCCGCCCCTTCTTTGCCTTGAACCTTCCTAGATCCAAATCCCAGTCCCTAGTAACCGTGAAACCCCAACAACCTGAATTCCTTGATTTGCAAACCCCCAATTCCAGCAACTCACCTTAACTTAACCTGTTTCTGCATCTCTACACCCTCTTTCCTAAAACCGAAACACCTCAGCCCCGCAAAACCCCACAACGCTCAGCCAGCCTCGAAGCCTTCGGGAGTCGGCAGTCGCACTTGTGGCCGGGCGCCAGGGTCCTTGGGAGTTTGGTTTGGGTTTCTGTTTTGGTTGAGTGTTGAGGGTTGTGTGGTTCCTCTGCCTAGCCGAGCCTGGGCTCGGGGCGGGGGAGGGGGGGGGGGGGCGGGATCGCTTCAGGGTGGCGGGGTTCGGGCTTCAAGGTGTTTTAAAGGCTTTCTCTCAGCACGAAAAATGCTCGAAGAGAATACTCCGAACCTGCCAGCAGCATAGGGCTGGAAAGATGCAAGTGCAACGGGAAGAATCGCAAGGCCTGCTGAAAAACACGCTCCGAGATCTTCCGAGATACAGCCCAGTCGAGAGCTTCGGGGTTTTCGGCTTCTTGGGCTGCCTTTTCCCACTTCGCTTCAGGAACGCGCTGGCAAGTCGCTGGCAAGTCGCCGGCAAAACAAAAGATGCAAATCCTCAAGAGCAGCCGAGCCTCTCCACCGTAGGTGGGAAACAAGCCCTCTTGCCGAAACTCCTCCGACGACAGGGCTGTTTGGACAGAGCCTTTAAGGACTGCACGTTTATCCAAGGCTTCAGGGTTTGCATGTCCGGTGAGGATTTTGAGAGGGGCTCCTCCTTCAACACTTGCTGGCACCACTCCGTCACGATGCGGGAGCCTCAAGTACTTTGGTGAATACACGATGGCACTGGCCGCACGTGGGGGAGCTTGAAAGTGGGGGCCCATGTGCGAGGGCCATCGCATGCTCCTCACTATCGCCTGTGGTAGCTTTGGTCGCTACCTCAATTCCACGCAGCAGAAACGTGCGGAGGAGGCAGCCCCTAAACCAGGGTGCGGGGTTAAATACTCCACGAAACCTCCAGCACTTTGCCGGGAAGGAGCAGTTGAAGAAGTCGATGCGCTGCCCTTGCCCGTCATCAAAGGGGTAGACGCCCTGCACGGTCTGCTTCGTGCCTGACGGGAGGAAAGGCTGTACCTTCATGTCTTTGGCCCAAATCGACTACAAAAGAAAATGAAGACGAAGAACACGACTACCAAGTTGACGAACCCTTACTGACCAATCATGTTCAGCCCGGTTCCCGATCACATTCAAGGCCTGAGCATTTTAAGGTTTCAGGATTCTGCCACCCACTCAGCTTAATCTGCCAGATTTTTTTGGCCACATGCCAAGCAAACCAGTGATGTAAGTAGTGTTTGCTTAGGGTTTCCGGGTTTGTTTAAGGTTGATTTTGGCTAGACTACTAGACCTCTCAAACCTTCCTGAGGCGTGACCTAAAACCCTATAGCCTATACCCGGAAGTCTAAGTCATAGACTTGAACCTATGCACACTACCACAACGTCTCGCTTAGGCGCCAGGCCGGAAACTGCGACTGTGACCCGTCCTGTACCAAAAAAAACATTTCCAGGGGTTGTGTCGGGTAGTAAGTTGGGTTTAATGGGTTCTGTAGGGACGTGAGGACATTTGAGGCCGATTCCAACTCAAACTCAGGAGGCTGCAGATTAGGTCACCCCCTGACCATGATAGAAAGGACAGAGACAGGGTGCAGGCCCTATGCTAGATGATCTGCAGTCAAAGGGCGTTGCAAACGTTGTCCTCAGTAGCTGAGGGTGAGGGGCCCCTGGGTCTACCAAGATCGTCTGCCTTTTTAGCCTCCTTTTGTTCTTCGGAGCCTCGTCGGTCAGGGAAGGCTCCGACCTAAACCCCTTCCGGCCACTTTTGACTCTCCCTGGAGTGTGCGCGAATCCTATGGCCCTGTGCCACATCAGAAGGCAACATTGCAGAACTCGTTTTGCTACATGCGGACTTCGTAAGGAATGCTGCCGGGCTCTGCGCAACCCTCACTGCACTTATCCACGGGTGCCAATGATGTAACGTGGAAATAAGACAAAAATAGCCACGGCACGCTCCGTGGCGCTGAGCGCAAGGCTGTCATCCTGAGCAGTGTTCTTGGCATGCTGTGAATGGCCCTTCCTTTTTTAATCAGGGTTGCTTGTCTGCGTACGTAGCCTTGTCACCTTCTACAAAATCCGGACGTGAAGTCTTCATCATCCAGTCCCTGAAACTATGCCAGACTCGACACCCTCGATTCTGAGCCTATGCACGCCTGCAGTCCACTCCAATGGCAACGCTGGCCCTACTATGGGCAGCTGCCTTCGCCACGCCCGCCATGACTTCCGCCTTGCTTGCCTGCAGACTCCATGGCGCCAGGCTGCCAGCTTTTTCCAGTTGTGTTGGGCCGTAGGTTGGGAGAAGTTCACTACAGGTGACCCTTGGCAGTGTGGTTCAGGCATGAGGGCTCCCCCCAAAGGGCTTTTTGCATGTTGCAAGGCTTCCTAAACGCTTCAGCGCGAAGTAGCTAAGGGGTTCTAAGCTCTCAGGGGCGCCTCAGGACTTCGAAGGTCCAGACTGGGTGCCGAATTCACTTCGCAAGCTGGCTAAGGGAGCCACTCAGAACTCGAAAACAAGAGCCAGGGTCCAGCTGTAGGACACGAGCAACCCTGGCCCCAGGATGGGGGACAACGAGCATGTTCGCGCCTCCTCCTCGGGGTCATTCTCGAAGTAGATGATCTCGGCGGCTTGGCTTCTCGCACGGCCACTCCCCTGGATGTGGGCTTTCGTTGTTGCAAATCGGTCATAGCCTGAGCTGATCAGCGGCTTCAGGCGTCGCAGCACTGGTGGCCTATGGGCCTTGGCTTGGAAAGGCGGAAACACTATTTTCAACAGCCTTCCAAAAAGCCTGCACATGCCTGCACTGGCCTGCACTTGGAGACCAAGCTGCGAACGACCCAGTTGCAGTCGCACACGTCAATGCCTGCGCTGATCCGGAATCTTCTGAGCAGAAGCTTGAAGGGCCTGGGGGCAGCCTTCCCGAAACTGTTGGGCTTTGCTCAGACATCATGGCAACGAGTAGATTTCCCCATGGTAGGAATACAAGTACACTTTGTACCATCATGTGGGGCAGCCCGCAGCCTTCTTCCAAGGCGTTTGTGGAAACCACCACCTGCGCAGCTGCAGCATATGAAGACATGGGAAGACATGGGGGCATGCCGGAGCTTTCCCCCAGGTGGCAACTCGATTCATCATCCCCGCCCCCCCTGTCTCACTTTTGGGGGGAGCCTCTTTCCATCATTTGCGAGAAGCTCGTGCGCTTGCAAGCTGAGGGCAAGATGAAAGATCCCACCGTAATGCTCGCGTGAGAAAGTTGTGAAAGCACGAGGACCGACCTTGATCTGCCCTTCCCTCAGCTTCCGCATGGTGCGGTCGGTATCCTGCTTGGTCATCTGGCCATACATTGCCTGCAGATGCAGTTTGGCACCAAAGGAGCGATTGAGAAGCTCGATACTCTACTATTCCATGACCTGACACGAACGTGCCTCTCCTGGCAGTTAGCAGCCTGCACCTGCCTGCGGATCTTCCCGCACTAGTGCAACAGCCACGGAGAAGAATCGCCTGACAATCCCCTTCGAAGATGTAGCGCCCGAATCGCGACCACCCGAAAAAGCCCCGGCACGCGTGGCGTGCGCAGGGCGCCCTCGCGCTTGGCGCGCCTCCGCGATGTTCGCCCCCAGGCCGCGGCACAGCGCCATGGCCAGGGGCACCGTGAGCGCCACCTGTAGAGACGCTGGATTTGAAGCGTCAGTTGAAAGCGTCATTTGGGGGTGGGCTTGGAGGGACTCAGAGCACATGACGGAAACGCGGTGTACAGCACGGCTAAGTCGTCACTTTACCACATGCAGCGCAGATTTGCGCTGGAGGCCTTGCGTGGTTCACACCGTTCCCGTCAAAGAAGCAACACAGGTCGAAGCCCCAACATGGGATACAATCGGCCCACTCGCGCCGCGCAATACCCAAGAACACGACGGGAGACTCCCTTTGTGAGGGAGCCTCCTCCCCATTTTCTGCCCCCTGATGCTCCGTTTTTGGGATCTGGGCGCTGCTTCATGCCAGGGCCTAACACTCCAAGAAGATCCTCAACTTTGGAACGCTCCCGAGATTTCCTACACCTGAATTCCGGCCTGCTCCACGAAAACAATGCCTTTTCCACTCTTCCGAGGCTCCTGAACTACTCGAGTTCAGAACCGACATGCTGGCAGCAGCTCAACCCCGAATGTCTGGAGGCGCTTTGGGGGCAAGAGGTCCCTGGGCTGTTTTGTCCGCACATAACCCGGGATGGAGGGCTCCGGGGACTTCTTCCCACCTTTGTGCAAAGAGTGTCTCCTCCCGGAGCAAAGCTTCCAGCTTCAGCAGCTTGTAGGACACCGGCGGGGAACTCTTCACCTTGCAAAACTGAAGCTTGCGCGATCGCCAAGTGCCCCAGTTAGAGTGGCAACCGTCAAAGGCAAGGGCGACATTGGCTGCATAGCAGGGAATGAAGGAATGGGGAGATCAGGAAAAGCATGGGTGTTACAATTCCTTCATTCCCTGCGAGCCAACAGCAAGGCAGCAATGAAAGAGCACCTGAAGGCCAGTCAGGTCAAGCTGGTGACACGGTTGTTTTCCAAACTAGGCTTGGAAGTTCCATCACAGTCTACTTCGCTCTGTATGGTACCTAAACAAGGGCCCTCTAGAATTAACACCAAAGAGCCGACTCCAGCTTCATCATCTCGGGCTCAAAGGCCTCCAAGCATTTCTGTAGCCTCAGCGCAACCAAGGCCGCAGCAGTTGCTCGCAATTAGGGTCCATCCTAAGTTGTTAGGTACCTACAAAAGGGGACTGGTGTTGGGGAATGTGCACCCAAAAGGGAATCGATGACTCGTGGTCCTTCATGAAAGCTAGAAGCACCACAACCCATGAGCATCCTCCAGCTGAACTCCCAGCGCCACCGCCATCACGACCACCATGCACAAGCGCACAGGCCCCCTGCCTCCTGAGAAAGGACGAGTCCCACCTACCACTGAGGAGAGAAGCAAGACTTGCTGGGCAACTTGCGAGGCCAAGCAACACGCCCAACTTGTCCAGAACCTCCTCCCTAAGTACAGCACAGCGACCCAGCCACAAAGCATGCGAAAGCCCTGTTCCCAAAATGCCATGCCAAAACCTTAGCAACCCTTGGCGGTTTAAGGGTTTGGAGGGTGGGGGGAGGGGGCGGTTGCTCCTAAACCCTACACCGTAAAACCCTCAAGCTCCTGTGACTTGAAGCCATTCAACAGTCACAAAAGATACCTTTCCTCGAACCTTTTCTCGAAACTTGCCTCGGAAACTTTCCCCGAAACTGACCACTTCATACCCTAAGGCGGCTCCATCAAATTCTTCTTGACAAGTATGCGAAGAGTTGCATAGTTAACTGTATGAATCAAACATACAAAGCCCTAAACCCCTAAGCCCTAAGCCCTAAACCCTAAGCCCTAAACCCTACACCCTAAACCCTAAACCCTAAACCCTAAACCCCGAGCCCTAAACCCTAAACCCTAAACGTTTAGGATGCTTGGGGGCAGTGCCGAGGATCATCTGCCGCCGGTCCTCCTCGGGCAACTTCTGCAGCTCCAGAAGCTCCTTCGTTTCGCAGACTTCGTTATGGGTATAGGGTTTAGGGTTTAGGGTTTAGGGTTTAGGGTTTAGGGTTTAGGGTTTAGGGTTTAGGGTTTAGGGTTTAGGGTTTAGGGTTTAGGGTTTAGGGTTTAGGGTTTAGGGTTTAGGGTTTAGGGTTTAGGGTTTAGGGTCTGAATCCTACACCCCAAAAACGGCTTGGGCGTTATGAAGGTAACCCTAAACCCCCCAAGCCTTTTTCAACTGGACCCCTAGTCGGTTTGTCAGGACTCAGGGAATTGAATGTTCAAGGGTGAGCTTTCGAAGGTTTTGGCACTGCCAGCTCTTGTAGCTTTTAAGGTTGGGGTGATTTTCAGGAACCAGGGTTCTAAGGTTCAGAGCTTAAACGTTGGGGGAGGTTCAGGACTTACCAAACCCCCAACTACTCGGCAAAAGATCGAAGGTAGGAGCACATTAGTTGGGCCATGGCATGGGTTCGGAGCCCAAGACTTAAACTCTTAAACTCCAAGCCCTAAAACCCTTAAGCCTTTCGCTCCTGAAGCCCTAAACCCCCAAAAAACCCAAAACCCTATACCTTCTACCCTATAAGCCCCTCGAACCCCCAGGGGCCCCAAAAGGGCCCAGAAGCCAAGCCGGGTGTCCCTGATATTGCGCTCGAATTGCTTCACAATACACCGTTGGACCTTAGTTGCCCAAGGAGGGGCTTCAGCGTTCAGGGGTTTTTGGACTAGCTCTGCCAGTGCTTATGCAGAGTGCCACAGCCAACCTTTCAGAAAGCAAACCAGCCCAAGTCACTGGAACCCACCCGCAGGCAGTACCCACACCCCGGTATCCCGCGGCATGCACTCGCTTGCTGACCCGGACACCATGGCGTGCAGCGTATCAATTGTACTCACATTTGAACCATGAGGACAAGCGTAGGGCACATGCAAATAAGAAAGAATAGGACTAACATGACACGTCAAATGGGACACGGTTGTACAGTTCAGTTCAGGCAACCTTCCAGGGAGCCCGACAAAGATCAAGACTTGAGGGCTTTTCGCCACTCACCCGCAGCCGAAGGCAAGGCAGTTGCTTTTCGGGCTATGCGGGCTTTAGGCCTCAAGGCTTTGGTGGTAGGGTTATGTGCATGGCTTTTGCCTTTTCTTGCGTTAAGGGTGTTCGTTCCGTCAATAGGGTTTAGGCCCCCCCACTATAGAAGTCGTACTTTGGAGTAAGGCTTATAGGGCTGACTTCTGATTTCAGGGTTTGGGGTGGCGGCTTCTTCTTGCCGCTGCGAGAAAAACTCCCATATAGTTAGACTTTGGGCCTCCTGGGTAGCTCATATTGTTCCTATACTCTGGCAATCGTAGCAGGGTACGGTTGGTGTTTATTCAAAAGGCTCCCTCTTCTGGATTTGCGACTCCAAGCCGCGTAGTCTTGCAAGCCTTGTCGCCCCATCTGCATAAGGACATGTTGCATGCGACTGCCCATTCTCTTGAAGTCCTGCAGGGGTTTGCTCTCAAGAATGCTCTGGGCGCCAATGAACATCCCGGACGTGGCCCAAAACTGCGCTTCGGAATTCTTGGCTCAGGCCGAAAGAACATCTAGCCTACTACATCTCTACAGCACATTCGCATCCTTGCCCCTCGAACACCAAAACTCTTGAGGATGCCACTCTTGTGATGGGTGGCGCAATCGGCGCAAGAGGGCAGGGATGTCGACCCTGAACGCCGGCCGCCCCGCCAGTCGGTCCCCCCCTCGGCCCCAAAAAATGAAGAAAAATCTCACCTCAACAACCCTACCCTAAGCCCTAAACCCTAAACCCTGTCACCATCCCATGCATGGCGGGACGTGCCCCCCCGAAATACGAGGAGCTGCCGGGCCTTGTACTCTGCTGCGCTGCCCAGCTGCTGATAGATGGTTTCTAGTCCATGCCTCACCTGCTCCTGGCTGCCAAGGATCAAGTTCCATGCTATGCTTGCACATGTGTCCACATCTACATACCTGCTTCTTATTAATATCTATGTTTGGTATACATGTATGGAAATGTATGTAGAAATTGTACTTATGCTAGCGTATGTATACATCGTCTTGTTTTGGGGGTCGGATTCTTTACTAGTGCATCATAAGCATCTCTGGCGGCGTGCATGTGTTTTTTTTGCTGAAGAGCCACACGTAAACCACGTCACATCTCTCGTGCCCCCACCTTTTACAGATCCCCCCACAGACGAAATGACTGCCGTGTTCACATGAAGCTGTCCTTACTGATAAAGGCACGCCATTCAAAGACGCCCCTTCACATTCGGTCATTTCCGCTTGGATCGCGACCCCTCTTCTTCAGCGACAACAACTACAACACCAAAAGTATGTGCTGTTGCGAACAGCACCTTTCCTTAGAAGAAAGAAGCTTCGCATTCTTCCTGCTCAACAAAATCCAAACATCTGGTACACATCCATCGCGCATCGCCCGACCACGCCCCAAACACGAACCGGGGCACATCATAAGAATGCGGCAGGTACGGGGTCCTCGAAGGCTGCCGCACATGCAGCAGCCTGCGGGTCTTCACTCCAGCTCGCCCGCGTCCACGTCTTCGAGGTCTCTGCATCATCTGCCAGCTCCTTGGGGCAGACCAAAGAGTTGCAGGGGGGCTTGCTTTCCACCAGCGGGTTTAGGGTTTAGGGTTTAGGGTTTAGGGTTTAGGGTTTAGGGTTTAGGGTTTAGGGTTTAGGGTGCTTCTTGCGGTTTCGACCCTCAAAGGGGGGGTTTGAGGACCCCTTATTAGGACCCTTTTGCAACCCCTTCTTTCCACAAGAGTCACCTCGCCAGGCTCCAGCCAAAGCACGTCTGCGCAAGGTCTGCCGCCCCACACGTCAAGAGGAGCGCGCACTACATGATGACACTGGAGCAGAGGCATGTGAAGGCGCGACGCTCGTACCCCAAACCCTAAACCCCAAACCCTAAACCCCAAACCCTAAACCCTAAAGACCAAGGCCTCGCAACGTCAAGAAGCGATCCATTCGAGCCCTTGCAAGGGCTGGGAAACCCTCGACTCACCATCCCAGAAGGACGCGGCATCAAGATACCCTGAAGCCTGAACCAACCTGAAAACCGAATCCCTGGAGGCCCTGGACACACCCTAAACCCTAAACCCTAAACCCTAAACCCTAAACCCTAAACCCTAAACCCTAAACCCTAAACCCCACTCTCAAGAGCAGCGTCGGGGGTGTAGATACTGGCATTCAGCTGCAGCTCCTCAGATGGCGTGGGGCTTTAAGGCTGTCTGCCACCCGCCAAGCGGACCAGCGGCTTAGGTTCTTTGTCTCGGGTCTAGCTTAAACCCTAGACCCTAAACCCTAAACCCCAAGGGTTCAGTGCACCACGTTGAAATTTCCCGCTCGCACTCGAGGCAGGCTTTCCCCGTAAGCCTGTCCCTGGTGTGAAATATGCATTGGGATGTTCCCCCTTGTGCTAAAGATGCTAACAATCCTTGATAGGGATTATGGTACCTTGTTGTTGGAGGACTTGCTGACTGCCAGAAGACGCCCACAGCCTTTGTTTTTGGCATCTGGGCCCTGCACGCTCGGCGTCGAAGCCCTCAGCACTAAACCGACTTGGGGATTTAAGGACGGTAGGGGACCCCTAAGATAGACCCCCAAAATCCGCCGACCCCCTTTGTCGGCGTCAAGAAGCTGGACTCGTACCTTGCCCGCTGGACCCGCTAGTGGCCTTCCCCATGGACCCGCGCGGCTTGCTTCCTACGTGGATGGACCCGCGCGTATTGTAACCCACCTCCATACGCCGCGCGTTTTGTGACCCATTTCCCAACCCCGCCCCCCAACCCCCCCCCCTCCCTCCCCTCCACCCGAGCCAGAAAAAACAACCAATTTGGTGTTTTGGAAGGCGGCAAAGTGGGTGGAACTGCGCGTTTTGGGAGCCGTTTCCCTACCCCCCCCCCCCCCCCAACCCCTCCCCCCCTCCGAAGCGGTGAACCGCGCGTTTTGGGTTTTGTTTTTTCTGGCTCGGTGCGAGCGGGAGGGAGGGGGGGGGGGGCGTGTTGGGGGGGG